GTTACAGCTTCGGTTTCTTTCACTTTTACTAGCGGTGGAATTGGACCACAAGGATTTTCTTTTCTGAGCTGTCAATTGTAATTAGTGTCAGGCTTTCAGCATTCAGCTAGAAACTACTCCCCTGTCCCAAATTACCCTTAAAAAGAAATAAAAGATGGAGATAGACCTTTTTTTTTTTTTTTTTTGATAAAGAAGAGACATTTTGATAGCATAAATGATAAAATAGTATTTGTTTATTGTAAAAAAAAAAATTAATGTGAAATAAACCTAAAATAAAAAGTGATAGTTACTTTAAAATAGAAATAGTAAGAAAACTAATATTTACAACTTATTCCATGAAGTTTAATTTAATTCAATGATTACATATCTCTATTTTCAAAAGAGAAGCAATTGAACTAATGCGAAATTTTTGGCTTAAATTTCTTTATTTTTCAATGAGATAGACTAATTAGTTGAAACCGTCCTAAGGAGAGTGATGGAGACGAAAAACAGAAGTTCAAATTCTGATCCAGTCAATTAACTTGTACACCTTCCTCAATTTTTAGACCAATTAATCCCATAGACACATGTAAACTTTATCATCTATAGAAACCGAGTAAAGCTCTTTCTAAGAATATTAGACTATATCAATTTATTAGAAGTTTTTCTAAAGTTTATACATATGCCGTTACAATGGAAGTCCTAATATATATATTTTTTTGGTATGAAAATTTTAAGAATTAAATATTAAATCTGTTATTAAAAATAGAAGTAATAACTCTATTATTAGATTATATAGTTGGTATGAGAGTGCTAATATATTCTTATAAGTTTAGAGTACCCTTGTATTTCTTTCAATAAAATCTACCCCTGCCCTTTGTATTTTTTATTTTAATTTTTTTTTTGGGTGAAATTTCTTATTTTAATTTTTCAACTTTTCAAATATTAATTATGCATGTTTTGTTTTATCATCCTAACATGGCTTCCAACCTGAATTAAGTTTGTATATACATATACTTAGATACCTGCATTCTCATCAAGAGATCTGAACTCTGTTTTACTCGAAATCGATTTTTCTTGAATTCCTGACGGAGCCATTCAACATGGGCACGTTCCTCCGGGGTTCCAGCCTCTGGGTCGAAATCCCAGTGTTGTCTTCCAACATGATTGTTGACCGTGATCAGCCACGGCCCATCCTCTGCTATCTTCAACTTCCACATTTAATTTCTGTGCAATTAACATCAGTGGCCGAGCCAGGAAATATTGTTAGCGGGGCAAGATAAAATTTTGACTAAAAAGGATGATTTTGTGTGTTAATTTAAAAAGTAAAAACAACATAATAACATTTATTAGTTTTTAACAATAAATTAATAGTAGTTGATAATGTAATATAAACACCATTAGTTAAAAGATAAGAACAAACATAAATTAATTAGAATAATACTATGAACAAAGAAAAGGGAAGTAAATATATTAAAGAATAAATTCTTTATAAAAAAAATAATAAATAATTTTTATTCCATTAATTTTCACTTTTTCTAATACGTTCTATTATCATTACTTTCTTCATCTTCCGCTTTAGCGTTAAAAGTAATCTTTAATAACATAAATACTAAGAAATGATTCAAAAAATAGTATGAAATAAGGAAGGATAAATGATAAATAAGACATAAGGGACCAAAATAAATTTTTACAATAGTTTAGGGGGGGGCCTGTGCCCCCTCAGGCCTCCCTGGCTCCGCCGGTAATTAATATTACTCATAGCATTTTCTATTTATATGTCTAGTGATAAAGATGCTTTGGTTCGAGTTGCATTAGTGACATGAGTTAATAACTAAAAATATAAAAATTTTACTTTTTATGGTGTCAACTTATAAAATAAAAATAAAAAAAATAAAACCACAAAGGAACCTAAAAATCTCAAAGAACCCACGTAAGCAAACTATAACGAAAGGCACATCCACAAAGCACCACCACAATCATGCGGATCATCGAGCCATTAGAATCCTTTAAATCCCGATCAAAGACAAATCAACGCCCAAATGCTTCACCCAATAACTGAATCAATCTAGCAACTCTCCCCTCTTTCCACCAAAGTCAGCTAATTAAGCCGAGGCAAGAGGGCAAAGGTTTTTTATTAGAGTTTTTTAAATGGTGCAAATTAAGAATGTATTAATTGTAAATTTTATTTTAAATTATTTTAAAAAACAAATTTTAATTTTAATTTTATTAATTACTTAATAAAAATTATTCATGGATTATCGATAACGTTAAAAAGTAAAATAATTTGTTTTTTATATAAATTAATAAAAAATAAATAATTAATGTACATAAGAACAAAGATTAAAAAAATTAATTTCTATTATTTTCCTTTCTTGGACGTATTGCGAGTAAACAAGTTTACGAAGCAAACAAACGTTGGGGAATACATGAAAAGCCAAATGGAAGAAAGTTACAAAATATATACATACATACATATATATATATATATATATTAAAGAAGATAATCTCTTCCACTGAGGCGAAATGAAGAATATTCATACCTGAAGGAAAACACAAGAGAGGAAATGGCCGGGGAAGCGATCGAGTGTGTGTATTCTCAAGCGGAAGGATCAATGTTAAGTAGGCCTCTATTCCTTTTTTTTTTTTTTTTCTTTTCTAATTTTGTCGTGAAATTATTTGTAAAATTTGCATAACTTCTTACATCCGTTGAGAGTAAGCTGGAGGAACTTG